TTACTCTAAAGGATCTTAATATTATGTTCAATTATAGGCATGCCCAAGAGAATAGTTAATGCAAAAATTGCTTGCCTTGACTTCAGCCTGCAGAAAACAAAAATGAAGCTTGGTGTACAAGTGGTTATTACAGACCCTGAAAAACTGGACCAGATTAGACAGAGGTATGTTGAGAGATTATTTTTGACCTTTGAAAATAGGTGTTTGTAAATCATACTTCTGCTAGAGCAGGTGGCGGTAAACTGAAAAAGGAGCACTGCGTCTTGTATTTAATGTAGTAGAGGGACCGAGAAGTGGACCGTGTGCCTCCCGTATGCCAAGCAGGTGCGGGGCGGTGTGCACGGTGCCATGTGTTGATTGGCACACAAGAGGCCTAGTCAGGAAGATGTAAGTTTTTAATGGTTGGTCGCTTGGTGTGGTTTGTTTGTTTGTTTGTAGTAACTGAACCAAATCTACAAGAAATTTTTTCCAAGAGTCAGGAATGCCCTCATCTTCTAAATCTAACTGTGTGTGTCTCTCTTTTCTCTTTCCTGGTGTACCAGAAAGGGTCCTTCCATCAAAGGCCAGTCCCTCCACAATAAGTGTTCCAAATCCCTTCTGCTTTAGTGTCCTGATTTACTGATTGTTCTTTTTCATTTGTATCTTCAGTTGATTCCACGCTTCATTCCTCCCAGGTTCTACGTGCAGCTCACACCTTTTGCTCCAGTTCCTCCCTCCTCCAGCTCTCTCCTGCCAGGAGCCTCAAGAGGGGCTTATATGAAATCTGTCCTCTGGTGCTTTCTCATTCCTTTCCAGCAGAGGACCCCTCTCAGGTCACTGATGACTGAGACGGAAATTCACTAGACACTTTCAGCCTTCACTTGATCTTTATCAAGCCTTTGATTTCTTTCATGAGACATTTGACAGGTGGAGTGGCTTTGTGATACTGCCTCCTCTGTTCCCGAGCCAGGCTGCTACCGCCACCTTTTGTCCCCTGGGCACTCCTCCTCCCTTTGGCTTCAGTTACTGTTTGGAGACTCCCAAATCTATTTCTCTGAGCTCCACACACATGTATTTGTCTGGCTGAATATTTTTTAAGCATCTCAAAATCATGTCTAAAACTGAAATTGTGGTGATATACCCCAAATCTGTTCTTGGTTTTAGCGATGGGGACCCCTTTATTCGGTCTACTCGGACAGAAAGCTAGAAAATATCTTTAACTTTTTTTTTTTTTTTTTATCTAGTAACTTTTACCCTTTTAATTTCTCACCAAGACCACCTGATTTCTATCTTCAAGTTAAATCTCAAATTTACTTGCTTGCGTTTGCGTTGTTACGCAGACTGTCGCACAGGCCTCCACGCTGGTGGTCTGGAGTTTGCTCTGTGCCCTCCCAGGCTGTTTCCCCGCTTACCACGCCTGCAGCCGGAGCTGGGGGTGCCGTGGGCATCCCTTGCGCTGTGGTCTCGCCCCAGTGGGAGCTGGGGCCCAGCAGACTCTCCATCCACAGGACCTAGCATGTTTCTCCCTGCGCCTCAACGTCTTCTCTGCCTGCTTGTTTTGATTGGTTAACTTTTACTTGCTCCTCAGGTGGTCAGTCCCTGAGAGAAGCTTTTTTTCATCCCTCAATCTAAAGTACGCTCTACCACGGCTGTCTGCGCCTTGCTGTCCGGGAGCTTACCGCAGTTTCTGGGTTCGTGTGGCATAGGCTGTGAGCTCTGAGGGGCACCCTGAGTGACTTCCTGGGCTGTAGCCCCGTTTTTAGGATAGTATCTGGCACACAGTACTGGTTCAGTAGATACAAAAGGGTTCATGTTGAGGTTAGTCTTGAAGAATTCTTCAAATGATAGGCGAAATGGCTTCAGTCACCTCCGTACTGACACCGTTTCCCATAGCTAGCTTGTGATTTCCATCCATGTCTGCCCACCCCCGGCATCCGCACCGGAATGACGCGGCCCTCACACGCATGCTGTTGAAAACTGAGCTCTGCTGTCTCATTCTGCCTCCAGTCTGTTAGTATGTCTTTCACCCAGGAGTCAGTAGTTCAACCTCCCACGCACCTAAGCCATGCACTCTGACCCCTCTGTGTAGGTCGTCTGTGTCTGCAGTTGCTGCCTCCTTGCCGCAGTCCTTCACCTTATCAGTGCGGTTCCCACGCTGCTGCAGTCAGGATCCTTTTGAAAACATGGATTTAATGCTGCTCTTAAAAAGATTTAACTTAGTCCAGACTCTTTAACACGCTTTCAGGGTTCTTCATTTTCTGGTCCTGACTGCAGTTTCACCTCTGGGACCCTCTTGACTCAGACCCTCAAGCTTTCCTTGTCCCACCTGCCAAGGTGGATTTCTGTCTCCCGTGTGCTCTGTACTGGCCACGGGATGTGGTTGACTGTCTGCCCGGCAGATCATTGAAGGCAGGGCCGCTCTCCTTTGCAATCACAGTTCTTGGGGTTGGGGACTCAAATTGGGGGAAAACTAAGTGATAATTTTTAATCCCTAGAACTTTTATGTAAAATTAGACTGATTTAAATTTTGGTCATAGAAAAGGTTAGTTAATATTTAATCTGCAGTTACCTTGTGAAAAATGCTTATGGAAGTTAAAGCTATGTTACGAGAAAAACACAAGAGGTACCTGGGTTTCTTTATCTGTAGAGAATCAGATATCACTAAGGAGCGAATCCAGAAGATCCTGGCAGCTGGAGCCAACGTTGTTCTAACTACTGGTGGAATTGACGATATGTGTCTCAAGTATTTTGTGGAGACTGGTGCAATGGCGGTTAGGAGAGTTTTGAAAAGGGACCTTAAACGCATTGCTAAAGCTTCTGGAGGTATGTCTTCTGTTAGTTCTCAGATATGACATGTTACTGTACATGACCGTGTCTCTACACTGGAACATCAGCACTAAGCAGCTTCCAAGACAGCCATTGTTTCTTTTTAATTCCTGTAATTATTTATTCTTCAAATGTATTTATAGAGCCGTTTTTCGTGTTACTGGAACAGTTCTTTAGTGTTACTGAATTTCTTCAGTGACAGTTCCATCTTGGACAAAAGGATACGTTGCTTGTTTGGTGCTTAACTGGAAACAAACTTGTATTATTAGTATATCGCTTTTCCATAAATGTTTCTAAATCTAAGATAGGCTATGAAAATACTCATGGGAGAACAGTATTGACAAGATCTTTGTAATTCTCTAAATAGCAACTATTCTGTCAACCTTGGCCAACTTGGAGGGCGAAGAAACTTTTGAAGCCTCAATGTTGGGACAAGCTGAAGAGGTGGTACAGGAGAGAATTTGTGATGATGAACTGATCCTGATCAAAAAGTAAGAACCACTTACTAAATTACAAAGCTGTGTAGATTTTATTAATAAATGGAGATCACTTTCCCATTAATTTGCTGCTATAGTCTTTTCAGTGATATGAGCAGTTATACGCATGGGATAAAATATCAGTGGACCACTGTCAGTGGAGACGGAATAACCGTTTCGTCTCTCTTGCGTGTGTGGTCTAGACATTGCTTCCGTGTCCAGTCCTTACGTAAGCAGGATTCACTCAAAGTGCTTGTAATGAATTTCTCTGTAGACTCAATTTTATGAAAGTATTGGTTTAAAAATTTCACTTTATTTTTAAACAGCACTAAGGCCCGTACATCTGCATCGATAATCTTACGTGGGGCAAATGATTTCATGTGCGATGAGATGGAGCGCTCTATACACGACGCTCTTTGTGTGGTGAGGCGCGTTTTGGAGTCCAAGTCTGTGGTGCCAGGTGGGGGTGCTGTAGAAGCAGCCCTTTCCATATACCTCGAAAACTACGCCACCAGCATGGTAAGAACACCTAGAAACCCTTTCCCCCCAGAAGCTCATGAAAGGTCATCTCCGGCATCTTGTTAATACACTTCTTCTGAGACCTTGGCTGCTGTGGGTTTTGTCTTCCTTGTGTCAAGACACCCTGTTGTCTCTCTTCTTAGGGGTCTCGGGAACAGCTTGCTATTGCAGAGTTTGCACGATCTCTTCTGGTTATTCCCAATACATTGGCAGTTAATGCTGCTCAAGACTCCACTGATCTCGTTGCAAAGTTAAGAGCTTTTCATAATGAGGCTCAAGTTAACCCAGAACGTAAAAACCTAAAATGGTGAGTGTAGTTTCCTTGTCCTTTTCATTGTCATCTGTATTGTATAGATGTGTGTTGTTTTCTGGTGATTTTATTAGCATTGATGTGTCTTAGTTTGTCCTTGCTTCTCCAGGTAGTTACTTTACCTACAGGATGGTCCAACAGAGGGATGGGAGAGATTATTTTGGGGTGATCCATACCTATTTTTAAGCAGTTCCTTTATAAGTTACTAAATGATGCTTAGAAAGTTTCTGTGCTGATTTTGTCACTCACAAAGAACTACTTTAGTCTTTTTTTAAAATTATTGATTTGAGAGGAAAGGGGAGAAACTTACTTATGCCTTTATTGGCTGATTACTGTATGTGCGCCAGCAGGGTCAAACCCACAGCCCCAGTATTTTGGGATGACACTCCAACCACCTGACCTACCCAGCCAGGGTCAGCTCCTTTAAAAGAATAGGATGGGTATGTGTTTTAAGAGGTCATCTAATAGATTTTTCTCCTAAATTACAGGATTGGTCTTGATCTGATTAATGGCAAACCTCGAGACAACAAACAGGCAGGAGTGTTTGAACCAACCATTGTTAAAGTTAAGAGTTTGAAATTTGCAACAGAAGCTGCAATTACCATTCTTCGAATTGATGATCTCATTAAATTACATCCAGAAAGCAAAGATGAGAAGCACGGAGGTTACGAAGATGCTGTTCACTCAGGAGACCTTGATGACTGATCTGATTTCTCTCTTTATTTATGACACTCTAAGGTGTGGCAGTCTTTGTGTATCACATTAAAGTACAACAAGCTGTCGAGCCTCTGGTGGGTTCTTACAGAGGGTGAATTCCAGCCTCACATTGGTCCTGATCTCACATTTGTGTCTTACTAGCTTAGAAGGAAAGGAGGTGCATGAAGAGTTAAGCAGGTTCACCCTCTCTGAACGCACATGGCTATCCCCATCCCACCCCCGATGCATAGCGCAGCGACACCACGGCGCCCACCCTGTCGCTCCATGGTGTGTAGCAGGGTGACAAGAATCCGACAGCCAGATGCCCCTAGAGGGTGGCCCAAGGCAATAGCCCCTCCTTGAACGTTGACCTAAGAGGGGGAAAGATTGGTTATTACGTGGCAATAGGTTAAAATCCTAAACTAACCTTTTTCTTCCTAGTGTTAACACCAGTAAGTTACCCTTTTCAGCAGTTTAGGAACTGATTTATACCCTTGTGACATCTATCCTGACTACCTTCCCTTATTTCTTAGTTTTAAAAAATGTTAAAACTGTTCCTGCTTCAAGTAAACTAATGCCATCAAGGGTTTTTTTCCCCTTGGGAAGCAACAAAATAGATGTGCCCATGACCCAGCAAGGACTTACATCTAACAGCCACCCACTAGGAAGCAGCAAAATACATGAGCCTGTGACCCAGCAAGGACTTAGATCTAGCAGCCACCCACTGTGACTGACCATTATCTGGGACATACTATCTAACTACATGTATGTGGGTTTTGCTGTTTCCAGTCTGAAAACCATTGTCAGTGCCATCTGCAAGCCTTTGGGACTGCGGCTCAAGTTCACCTTCTCCAGGTTTAATCCAAGCTCCTTAGCTACTGCCACAGACAGGGCTGCGAAGGCTTCGTTGATTTCGAACACGTCCACGTCCTCCAGTGACCAACCTGCTTTTGCAACCTAAAGGAAAAATGAGTGGAAAAGGTGTAAAAACAGGCGGAACCATTCCTCATGGTACATAAAAAAGTGCGATATACTATATTGAAGGGTCTCTAAAAGCTGCCAATTTGGGTTCCTGAATCAGCCTAGCGATGCTACATTTTGCGTAGACATTAAGGGTCAATAAAACCACCCTTGGACAGTCTAAACTACCTTAAATTTGAACCAGTAATATCTGTCATATCTAGGCCAGGTGATATAGAACCATTCCCCTAAGGCACGTGATCCAAATGTATAGGTCAAGGAATGAGCTCATTTGAGGCTAATTGGAAGATCGTCAGAGAAGGGAAACAAAGCCAGTGAAACCTGATAGGAATAAACATGAAAGCAAAATCAAGCTCAATCTTAGCATTTTGGTGTGGAAAGGACCCGGAACGTTTAAAGAAGGCAGAGCTCAAACACAAGATGACAGATTACTGCTCTAGTCCCCAAGGTGGAAATTAACCAACATGCAGCATTCAACTCACAGCTTGCTTTATTGCTGGAATCGGCCCTGTTCCCATAATGGAAGGGTCCACACCGGCTTGTGACCAGGAAACTATCTGTGCCAGGGGTGCAAGCCCACGGGTGTCGGCGTCTGATTTCCTCATGAGAACCACAGCTGCAGCACCGTCGTTCATTCCTGCAAGAGGCAACGGTCTCGTGTCTAAAGCGGTGCTCCCGAGTTGCAGTGAAGTACCCATGTTTACCTTCTCTGACACCTGACGACACGAGGTAACACACCGTGGCAGAGCTGTTCGCTGTATTTCAGGTGTCACCGTGTAAACAGAAATGGTGAGGCAATATGGCATCACTGACCTCAGAACACCAATGGGAGAAGGTGGAAAGAGTAAAGCAGTGGGCGAGGGGAGGTCACCCACAAGAAGAGGGAAATCCTCACCCTCCCAGGAGGGTACTGACCTGGGGTTGGGAAAGGACCAAGATAGTAAAGCGGGGTTCCCACTGTACGTCTGGTTGGGAAAGCTGGTCCATTCTTTCAGTAAATATGGGGTGAGTCAGATACGGAGAAACTAATGATCAAATATGAAAAACATTTTCCCCTAAAGCAGCTAAAACAAGGTTTTAGAATAACGCATACAAATAATGAGAGGAAAGAAAAAAGGAATTAACCTGAAGACCTACTGGGAGATGGCATGTCTTACCTGAAGCATTGGCTGGGGTGACAGTCCCTGTCCCATCAGTGAGGAAGTAAGGCTTTAGTTTGGACATGGCTTCCAAGTTGCTCCCGTGGCGAGGAAACTCATCTGTCTTAACTTCAGTGAGGCCTGAAAAAAAGAAAACGAGCTAACCTGGGTTAGAGCAGAGACGGCAGGCAGCGTGCTGGGCATGGTGGATGCCTCGGGCCTGGTGAAGATTCATATTTGGGAAAGAGGCTTATTAAAAAATACTTTCATTCCCATAAGAGGAAAGTAAAAAGTACTGTTCGTTGAAACATGTGCCCTGATGGGTGTGGCTCGGATGGTTGGGCATTGTTCTGCAAAGTGATTCCTGGTTAGGGCACAGGCCTGGGTTGTGGGCTCCGTCCCCAGTGAGTGTGTACGAGGCAAGTGATCGATGTTTCTCTTCCTCTCTTTCTTCTCCCTTCCCCTCTCTTTAAATAAATTGAAAACATTTTACGAGCACCGTCGTCATGAGACAGTCTGGGCTCCCCACATCCACTGCCCTTGCCGAGGGAGGCAGGACAGGGAGTTCCTTGCGCAGAATGGCTATGGTCTTGGGCGTAGGGCTGGGCTGGTTATAGCCAACAGGGCCCGGACTGAGAAAGCCAGTCTCAGAAGGCCTGGGCCTGCGAGTTGCCAGTTAATCACACTGACAGAACTTGAGCCCCAGCTGGTGCGGCTTGGTTGAGTGTCGTCCGAAGGGTCGCTAGCTGGGTTCCCGGTTAGGGCACATGCCGGGGTTGCAGGTTTCATCACCCCACCACAGTCGGGGTGCCCGTGGAAAGCGACCAAATGATGTTTCTGATGTCAGCATTTCTCTCCCTCTCCTCCCTCCTTTACCCCTCTCTAAAATCAAGAATTTTTAAAAAGTGACCCAAAAATACCCACCCAAGAAATACGAAATGCACACAGAAGCAGCAGAAAGTAATGGATGTTTACTTCTGAGGAGAGAGCCTGTGAAAGGTCAGCTGTTGCCTCCTCACAAGGCCGTTTCTCGTGAAACCTGCTCTGGCCGCCTAGCAGTGTGGACGCCCTGGGGCCAAGTGTATGAGAGCTGGCACGTCTGCCAGGAAACGCCCCACCCCACACCCATACTCAGGGCATCCAGGACCTATCCTTCAGTCACAGCTTGAAAGACATGGTTAACACGATTTATAAACACTCCTGTCTACTATTCTTTCTTAGAAATAGCCGTGTTGATGTTTAAATCATTAAGAATTATATACCTACCTTTTCTAGAAGGCACAAAAACTGGTACAATCTCTTTGTCAAAATAGCCAGCTTTCTGTGCACTCTCTGCCCTGTTCTGGGACAGAACTGCTAACTTGTCCTGATCTTCTCTGTTCACTTGCCATTTTTTGGCTACATTTTCAGCTGTGGAAAAAAATAAAGCAAAACTGTTTTCAGGAAATGGGGCTTTTGGTAGCTCCAGGTTTTCTGAAACAAGCGCTGACCGCCCACCACCAGCAGGCTCACAGGTGGGCTGAGAGGCCAGCTCTGTGGCCGCCCCACCTCCCACTGGTGATGAATGTTAAAAGATGGCAGGGACTGCATCGAGAAGCCATTTTTTTTCTTTGTTTCCTTCTCTCTTTTCCTTTTTATATAATTTTAAACTTTCAGAAATTTCCTTTACGTTAATTTTTGCCCCAGCTGGTCCGTTCCGTCATTCTCTTTTTCAACCATCTGAAAGTTAAAGATATGCTCCTTTATCCCTAAATGTTAGCACTGGTATGTATTTCCCCCCAAACAGGACCTTTTCTTATATAACCACAGCTTTCAAAATCAGGAAGCGGAACGCCGATATATTACTATTGTCTGATTCTTGGTCCATATTCATCAGTTTCACCTGCTGTCCTGATGCTGTCATTTACAGCTAATTCACTTCCTCAGGACCCAATCCAGGATCATGCACTGCATTTCACTGTCAATTTCTTTAGCGTTTTGTGTTTTAAATTTTTGGAAGAATTCCCCAGTCTATCTTTGTGTTTCTTAACTTTGTTATTGTTGAAGAGCAAGGTCCAGTTGTTTTGTCAAATATCCCTAATCTGGGTTTGTTTTTTCCTCAAGATTAGACTAAGATCATGCAGAAAAGCAAGCACCCCACCGCACAGGATTTCGTAATGAGGAAAGTGCCTGTGGAGCCAATCACTACATGATTTTTAACCTTTTTACTGTAAATCCGTTTTCAGTGACGTCTGCCTTACCTGTAATGCCCATGTGATACTTGTGAAATGCATCTGTGAGCCCGTCGCAGAGAATACTGTCTGCTAGTGGTGTCTCCCCAATCCTGACTCCTGTCCTCAGGTGAACCAGGTGAGGGGCCTGGAAACAGAAATGAATTTAGGCTTGGTTATAACTAGCCCCTTCCTTAGCATCCCGCACTTAACTATCCCGTAGTCCCTAAGTTCCCATCTAGTCCCCTGGTGCCCCTTCTCCCCAGCTCTGGCCCACTGTCCTTCTTACCCAGGGTCCAGGGCCCGAAAAGCCCTGGAATCAGCAGGCCAATCCGCCTGTCTTCTCTTGGGAGCTGTAACTCTCCTACCTGCCCCTTTCCGTTTCCCATCAAACCTATCCCTTCTGTGTCCTATTTATTTCCTTAAGAACCTTATTCATTCTTCCCAAAGAGGCAACTAGTTATCTGTTAAAGGGCTTAAGTGATACTAACACTGTGTTACTTATTTTGATGGGAGACATACTGCCTATGCCGGGAACAATCAGGTTGCCTAATTAACTGATGGGGAGAGATGCGTAGGCCGTGAATCCTGTTAACTCTTACCAACTCATTAGCAGCTACAGCAGAACACAAGGACTTGGGAGTCAGCCGCACATGCTTGAATCCTGGCTCTGGGTCTCAGTAAATCACAATGACACCACCTGCCCTCCAAGTGCTGTTGGGACTGAAGGTACAGAAGCACCTGTGGAGTCCTACGCTCTGACTGTTCGCCACCTTCAGCCGCTCCTGGGCCTCAGCAACGGCTGGGCAGAAGAGGCCTCTGTCTAGGGGAGGCCAGGTCAGACCCCTGAACTGCCTGTACGAAGCAGGGGGCAAGCTGTGTCCTCTTTCATCGTGCCAGTTTGAGGGATGGAACTTGGTGAAACAAATCCCGTCTGGCAAACTCATCAGAGAAGGCACCATTCAGTGGGCCACTTTTCTGCATTTTATGCCTCCCAAAGGTCAACGAAATTTGGTCCCTGGGATCCTCCTTGTCACGTGCAGGAAGGTAAATGGCAACACCTGTTCTTGACTTCTCACAACGAGAAAGAAGTTTCAGATCAAGGATTTCTACGAACTAATGTTATAGGTTTGATTCAGAAAATATTTTATGCTTCGTTAGCATTTTAGAAAAACCATTCTGTTCTAATCACGCTGGTGGACTGGCTTTATCTTGAACCCAAATTTCTCGCCTAATTTGAAAAATAATTAACATTCAGGAAGGGATCAAGTCTGCATCCTTTTTGGTTTTTTGTTTCCTGTTTTGGTTCCTGCTCCGCTCTGACTTGGTTTACTCTGCGATGGCGCGGACATGAGTGAATCAGGGAGAGCTCTGTGACAGCCGCCCCCTCGGAGGTCCTACCTTGCTCATACTTTCCATGCCGCCAGCAACCACAATGCTGGCGTCTCCGATCTGGATGGACTGGGCTGCGAGGCACACAGCTTTTAGGCCTGACCCGCAGACCATTTGACAGCTCCATGCTGGGACGGAGTAAGGGATCCCTGCACCCACACTGGCTTGTCGAACAGGATTCTGCCCGCAGCCTGGAGGAAGGAACACAGAGGCCTCTCAGCAATCGAACAGAAAATGTTTGGTCGGAGGCACATGCAAAACCAGTTTACATCCAGACCTCCTGCCACTGCCAGGGCACGCTCTCTTGGAAGCAGAGAGGCCTCGGCACACCCCACATCTGTCCTAGCGCAGCCCTTACGCACACATGACCTTGTGCTGCTCTACAGACACTCGTGGATGTTGCAAGCTTTCTTCTCCACAAAGTTACTAATACCTTAAGAAGGAACTATCTTCCGGACCTTTCGATAGGACTTGAATAAGCACACTCCCTTATCAAGTAAGGGCAGCCGCAGGCATTGTTTATGCTTCTAACTAGGCCATGTGCTTCTGTGGTCATGGTTCCGATGCCTTAGCCATGGGAAGGTAAGAGGGTTCCTTAAAGAGGAAAATCTCTGATCTCGATTCCCAGTCAGGGCACGTGCCTGGGTTGTGGGCCAGATCCCCAGTACAGGATGCACGAGAGGCAACCACATATTGATGTTCCTTTCTCTTGCTTTCTGCCTCCCTTCCCCCCTCTCTGAAAAACAAATAAAGATTAAAAAAAATCACAACAAATATTTGCTGTGGGGAGTGTGTTGATGGAACGGGAAGAAATAGATTACAAATTTAATCAAAATATTGGAGAAGAGGATGGTATTGACAGTATCAGATATTCTTAGTCACCACTGTGTCAGAGAGTCAGTCAGTGTTTATACAGTGGTCACTCTGCTGCAAGTTACTGACAGACCCCCATCTAGCAACTCACCTTGGTAAGGTTGCTGGGAAAAAACTGGCAAACGGTCAGTGACAAAAATGTAGAGATTATATTCATCACAATGTTATTAATCGGGGATTAGGTGGACATTGAGAGTAGACACAGGAAAAATATTAAAAAGAATTATTAAAATATTCTCTGAGTTAAATGCATAGGACACTAGTTTATGAAGAAGACAATATTACTTAAGGTTTCTGCTTCTTTAAAATTGATTGATTTTAAAGAGAGAAGGTAGAGAGAAACATCAGTTGTTCTACTCACGCAGTCATTGATTGATTCTTTTTTAAAATATTTTTTATTTATTGATTTTAGAGAGAGAGAAAAACATTGATTTGTTGTTCCATCCATTCATTGCTCCTTGTATGTGCCCTGACTGGGGATTGAATCCAAACCCTGGTGCATCAAGGACGCTCCAACCAACTGAGCTACCTGGACAGGGAAGTTTCCTGCTTTTTAAGCTACAAATGCATTTAAGTCAATAAATCCTTTATAAAAATTTTATTTATTCATAATCCTTGTCTTCAGGTGCTTAGAGTTAAGAATGGGTGTTGAGCATAATTAATTAGTAGTTTAGCATTTAGCAGAATATAAGCTCCATGAGAATTTCCACCTTATATAAACACTGTTCATCTCTAGCTGTCTGGAACAGTACCTGGCACACAGCAGGTGCTCAGTAAATATTTATGCTACTGTGGAGGATTCCTGGGCTAAAGGACAGAGGTGGGTTCAAAGACTAGCTCCACTTCAAACTGTGGCCTTGGTTAAGTGACTTAATTCTCAGAATCTCCGTTATTTATTTGTAAAATGGAGAAAATGTGCTCTAACAGGCTTACTGAGAGTAGTAAATGAGGCGATGGGAGCACTAAGCCCAGCGTTTTAAAGGCCCAGCACTAAGCAGACCCTCAGCAGATGCAGCTCTCTGTTTATTATAATGTGTGGAGATGCTGGAGGTGAGAAGCGAAGAGGCAACAGAGAAGCCAGCAGCTGGCTACCCCACGGCAACTGAGCAACTGTGAGTCACGTGTCTGGGAAGGAAGGAGGGAGTGACTGAAGGTGACGAGTCTGAGGCGGTACTCATACTCGACGCCCTGCAGGGTCATGAGAAAGCAGTGGGCTTCCACCTTAAGGCCTGTCCGGAGAAGTGGAGGAAGGAGAGCTGGGAAGAGAAACTACAAAACCTCAAAGTAAATACCCAGAAAAATGGGCCAGGTCTCAGAAAGGGCAAGGACAAAAGCTGGTTGTTAGTGAGCATTACCAATTAGCACTATGAATAATTAGAATTGATGTTCCTGAGTGATCCTGAAACTCGTCACGATGAACAAATTAGGAACTGGCAGGGACTGCTGGTCTGTCACTCCCAGTGGGAACGAGAGGACTGGAGCACCCTGGTGACTTACCCGCGCCCAACCCAGGCATGACTCACCTTGGTCTGTGAGGGGCGTGAGGCCACCCTGCCTTACCAGCCCCGAAGTGAGGCCCGTGGGAGCGAGGGCTTTACCTGCGTGGTTGGAGCCCTATCCCCAGCACCTACCACGGTAATGCGGGGCACAAAAGAGGAGTTTGTACATTTTTACTGTGTTAACACTTCAGGGAACTATGGAGGGAGGGTCCGCATCCTCTCCCATGTGCCACACTGGCTCTGCTTCTAATGAAAAGGCAGTGGAGGGTGGTGGTCTAGGGTCATTCAGGGAAAAGTACATGGAAGATGCTGAGTACATGGAGAGAAGCTAGCTATTCACGGGACTTGCAAAGGGGCGACAGGAAGAATTCTAACAGCAGGAACTCTGTGAGCCACCTGTATGCCGGCAAGAAAAAAGTTTGGGTGGGGGAGAGGGGTCGTTGATGGGCTGCTTCTAATAAACTTGACCCTCTGCCAGGGTCACCAAGGAGTTACCTGCTGCCAAAACGTGTCCAAATATGACCTCCGACACCTCTTCGGGGGCCACAGCGGCCCTCTTCAGGACTTCTTTGATGACAGTGGAGCCTAGCTCATGGACAGGAACAGTGGACAAGGCACCATTGAAGGAGCCTAGGACAGAAGGGAACGCGAGGGCGATGAAGAGGCTGCCCACGTCCGGGGGCCGGCAGACCCGGGCTCTCCCCCTGCGCAGGCGCCCTCCGCAGCTCATCGGGGTACAGAGCGGAGCGCGTGTGACTCGCAGCAGCCAAGGCCCGGGAAGGCGGCCCCCAGAGAGCGCGGGGAGCTGCGGACCCGCGGGAAGCTGGCCGGTCCATCCCCAGGATGGGCCACGCTGCCCTAACAAAAGAGGTCAGCCCTCCTGCGCGTCCAAGGGCTTTGAAAACTACAACACTAAGGAAGGGAAGGAAAGTCAGGCCAACCGAGGGACCCCCCCGCAAGACCTCTGTCCCGTGCCCCGGCTCAGACACCACAGCAGCCCCGCCCCTGAGGCCACAGGGATGAGGTGGCCAATCAGGAGGTCGCGAGAGAGCGCTTCTTTCCGTCAGCCAATGGGAAAGTAGGAAGGTGCAGTGGCTCTACCCGGAGAGCCAATCAGAGCACGCGAAAAAGAATTATCCTCACCTCACGAGTGAGGCGAGCCTGCTGGACCGGCCCAGGGAGGTGTGAGACTCCTAGTTCTGAGGGTCCCAAGCGTCCCAGCGGTCCCCGCGTGGGACCTGCCGGCCACTCACCTATGATCGTCCGCGCCGCCGAGACGATGACCACGGGGTCGGAGTCTGCACTCATCCTGCCACACGACCACTTCACGCGCAGCTGAGGACCGGGTGCTGCCGCTAGCGAGGCTAAAAAAAGCCTTCTCCGGCGGCCGCCGAACCACACTGAGGGGTGGAGCCGCAGGCCGCCCCGCCGACCGCTGCCGCAAGCGTCGGTGCGCAGACGCGAGGGCGGGCCGGTGGGGCGGGGCCGGTCGGGGAAGCGGGGACCTTGAGGGAGAAACTCACATCTCCCTCCCACCTCAGACCGTGCTTGCACGCACCAGCGTTGCATTTTTAGTCTGGACGTTTTTGTTTTGCGAAGGGTGTTGGGTTTGTTTTTTTTTTTAACTCAGTGTTTTTCGAGTCAGTGAAAGGTGAGGGTGACAATGTTCGGCGTTCCGCCCATCACTGGAATCCCACTGAAGAGAGAATCAGTGCGAGGCCTGCAGGCCTGAAGGCCGTGCCCACGTGTTTTTGCTCTCCGGGCTTCGACAGCGCCGCCCCGCTCCCTCCTTCCCCCCGCGCCGTTTTGCCTGGGTGCCCATTGGGGGTTAACTTGGTTCTCCTCGCGGCAGACCCGTGGGCTGACTCCGTGCCCTGTCGGGTTGGCACCGCGTGCCTGGCCGACCCGAAAATCAGCTCCAGAGAAGCGCGCGTGCCTCACTGCCCCGCAAGGCAAAAGCATTGCCTCTGGCAGCAGTGCGGACAGGCTGAAGGGCAGGAACGGGCACTAAGCTGGGTCACTCTTCCGCTGAAAACCCTTACCGGCTTTTTATCCCCTCCCCCACACCCTCCCGGGGCGAAGTTCAAAGTCTGGCAGAGCTCTGCAGGAACCCGAGCTTCGGGCCCCAGTCGTTTTCCAGCCCCAGCCCTTGCTGTTTTCCCCTGGACACCTCGTAGGCTAGTCTCCCAGACAGAAGTCTCGCTTTGTCTTATTCTCTCGAGCACCTGGGACGGTGTTGGACACGCAGGAAGGATTTAATGCTTATCAAATGTTAATGAATTTTTAGGATTATCATCTAAAAGCTTTAACCATGCCCAGGGCTGCGTGAAGATAGAGGTTAGATCTTACAGAAAAAAGAGATGGTAGAGTGAGCTGCCGACGTGGAGATGTACAAGTACTAAACCCAACAAGCTCAGGAGAGGCCCGCATGGCAGCGCCACATACGCAAGAGACTGAAAGTAACCATGTAGGGTGTGGTCTGAACATAAAAATTCCTCGCTGAAAGTCAGTCATGGCAGCAGCCACGTCCAAGGCCTGTAGCTTCCTCGACAAAGGTCAGTTACCTTAACTGAGCCTGTGTGTGGTCTCTGTGCATCTAGGATAAGGTAGCATTGCAATGTCGGAATAATCCCTATTCCCAGTCCCGTCAAGGTCCGCCCACTGCACCAGACCGAAGTCCGCGGAGCTTCATGGTCTCCCTGCTCCTGGGATTCCACGTGTGCTGAAGATGCTATCTGTTAGCCACCCTGTCCCCACCGACGTAAAAGTATGTGTCTCTCCGTTTTACTCTTCATCCAGCCTCAGAGGTTTCCCTGCTTTGCTTCCTCCTGCCTCCCTAATCTACCAACGATGGATTTTCATGTAACCACTCACCTCCCTTTTATCTCCTTCCTTGACTGTAGTGTTTAACATGAGCTGCGTGGCTGCCATTCCCTGGAGCATTTTCTCAGTCCTTTGAGATTTTTGCTTCCTGGCAATTGTCAGTTTGGCTCAAATACATTCATAAAAAATTCTTTACAGGCCTGGACATTTCTTACCTTGGCAAAAGTATTTGAATAATAACATCGAACAGCCATCAACTATCAATGTTGGCAAGGTGTGTTTGAGTAAAGGGTAAACACGGGTGGGATAATCAGGGATGGCTGAAATTTCATGGTTACTACAGGGACTTGATACATTTCACCTCTTTCCACGGATCTAGTTATGGTGATTGATTTCCAACATCCACTTTACTCCATATAATTAGCCTTAGCCTTGGCCAGTGGACATGAGGCCCCATCTTTGCAAGCAAACACAAAAAGATTTTCCTTATTTTCTGAGCCAGAAGCAAGCTGCTCTTACAAGCCAACTGAAAGCATCTTGATTTATCTGGGCTGACTTCTTGGTCGGAAGTTCAGATTTTTAGATGTTCGGTAAATCAAGGAGAAACAATACACTAGCAAGGAAAGGGTTTCTAGACTGGCAGTGTAGCTTGTTGAGTAAGGTTATAGAAAGAAAATCATTTGACAAGCCTGGGGAATCTTCCTGAAAAACTCAAGTAGGCTGAAATTTCATTTAGTCCTGGGAATCTACATCAAGACTTTCAAGAGAGATAGGTGGATGAGTCAGACAAACCAGAGAAGATAACTACAGCGTAAGCCCCAGATAGGGGTGATGTGGAGGGAGAAGCTGGAGACGTGCTTGGGGTCTGACGCAGCGATGGACCAGGACCAGCAGTCCTCCCCGAGAGCTCAGCAGCACGCTGGACTGCGTAGTGTCCCAAAAGATATGGGAGCCCAAGATATTTAAGGAAATTGTTCCCTAGCTTCACACTCTATCCCAGTGCCCACTTACACGTCTGGCCACTCCTGTCACCTTTGTGGGCTTACTTTGACTGCTCCTAAATATATTCCCCAAGAGTCTTACTTTACACAGGAACCCTGGGTAATACGGTCACTCCCATGGCTTCAGTTACACTTGGGGACAGCTCTGAAATCTAACCTAGTCGTCACCTGAGCACAGGCCCTCTCCATTAAAACATCCCATAAGCACATCAGATTGAACACATCTAAACCTAACTCATTACTGCCATGTCTTTCAGCCTTTGTTCTTCTCTACTCCAAATATCCATGAGCGCTGTAACTATCTCCTGTTAACCAACCTACCATGTAGCACTCCTCTTAGTGGGGGCTTCCTAGTGGAAATGACATCTACCTCCTGCATGGTGCTCCTTGGCATCTTAACTTGCTTCTGCTTATCCTGTTGTAATTCCTAGTTTCATCTGTCTCCTTTACTAGACTCTAAGCTTTGCAGGACGATCTTGTTATACGGCTTTATGCACAGCTCTTCGCACATTTTGGTTAATAAATATGAATATTTAATATATTCTTTACGCCCAGTGCCTAATACATCTGACTACGAATATATCCTTCTGGATGCAAGAAAAGTATTCACTTGTGTCCAGCCTGGAGGCTCTATCTAGATCCAACTTAAGAGCAAACATTGAGATCATTGTTTGCTTTCGTTGTGTGGCCCCACAGCACCTGTCCTCCACAGAGTCCTCATTACTCAAAGCTCTGTATGGGCAGGAACTAAGAATAATGAATAGGTGAAAGAAGAAATCATTTTGAAAATTACAGCTGCATCTAGAGTCATGTACCACCTCGGCTGGTGAGGAGTGCAAGTGAGGAACCCCTGGTAGAGCCGGGATCCGGAGCCGTCCCCTCCTGAGGGGGCTTTGCAGGAGTCCAGGCCAGATTTTAGCAGGAGGTAGAATTCACCAACCTCCCACGCAGGAAACTCTCCCATGATGGGTCCCATCAGAGATCAAAGGCAATGGCATTACCCAGGGTTGTGAGAAGTGTTCAGGGTTGTAACCCTGGGAATAAATGAACTCTCAAGCAAGTGTCATCAGAGAAGAGCAGTAGGAATGACTGGATTCAGGGAACAAACTATTAACGAAAAATGACAACTGAGAGAAAATTGTCAGAAAGAATGGCTTTGAGTTATATTTGCAAGTAGCCCCAAAACTAGACCGGTCAGTTGCATCCAATAGAGCTGAGGCCAAGGGGACTAACATCTGCTGAGCCCTGTGTTACAGGCACTTTATTTTTGTTCTCAAGAAAATCCTCCCAGCAGCAAACTGTACCCACTAAACCTTATGTGAAGAGATGGCAACTGGTACACCCTCCAAGGCCAGACCTCTGTGAAATGTCATTGTTCCTCTTGTCCACCGCCAGTATTTCCTACAAGGACCAAGTTAACCCTTCTGAGAAACCAAACCCTCTTACCTGAGCCAGCATCTTGAATTATATATGTAAGATCTTTGTAATTTGCATTTTTCCCATCATTGCGTTGCCATTCCATGCAGCCGTTTCTGATGAGTATGTACTGGGCACAGCAACCATTCAGACTGCTGAGATGTCATCCTCAGTAGCTTGGGTGGCATTTCTTCACTTTATTCGAGGATGCATGACAACAGTGGCAAGTCTGGCTTCTTGTCAGACATGGTTCGGCTGTCAGCTTTGAAGTACTGTCCAGGAAGCTTTAAGGACAGCACCGTCGAGCCCAGCTCCAACACTTAGCAGCCCTTTGACAGCTGCTGCACCCATTCCAGCACACTTCCTATTCTGTAAATGGGGATGCCATGCGCCTACCTCACGGAGTGGTAATCAAGATCATAATGCAAATAAAACGCCGGTCAGTTCCTGGTACGTACCTACTCAATAGATGTCAAAAAACACTAAGGCACTTTTTTTTTTTACTACCTTCAACTCTCCGGAATAATGTTTACGTAAAAACGTTGAAACTTTCTTGCTGTATCTTGGACTTTGGCTGCACTCATCAAGCTTTTGCCAAATCGTGGATTTCTCAGTTTCTAAGAGACATCTAAAAGATGCTTCGACTCCCACTTGTCCTGCTTGAGAAGTAATACGCTTTAAACAGGAAGTAGACACACAGGCAGCTGCCTTTCTCTCTGACATCAAAGGTATCACCATCCATTTCATGAAAGCTGCTAGCTTTTCCCTTTCAGTGGAAACTGACCAGTCATTTATATCTGGGGTGGTTTGACCAAGGGAGGTGGCCTGTCATCAGGGCTGGGACTTCACTCTGAGACAACAGTAGTGGCACCATTCACAGTCACTGTCATGTATTAACTCTTAGCAGGGAACCACTGAGCCGCAGAAATTACGAAGCCTGCCCGAGCCACGAAGCAGGGAAGGGGAAACGGCCAGAGGACTCTCAAGCCTGGTGACGACTTACTCTCTTATCGTAGTCATTCCAGTAAATAAAGCATCCAGTTCCAGAAGGGAAGAATGTTGACTCTGCACAATCTTAAGTTCTCTCCGCCCAAGTTATTCATTTGTTAATGCAGATTCAACAGAAGTGTGAACATTGGTGATGACGCATAAATCCATAGTCAATTTAG